AACTAAAAAAAAAAACAAAAAACCAATTTCCGAGAATGCTCTTAACATCCTTGCGACAGAAACATCGTAGTTGGTCGAACGATGCTTTCCCAATAAGCCTCCTATTACTTCTTTCATTGCCTGCCATGCATTCAATATATATCAATCAAAATATTGTTGAATGCGTCACTTTTAATCAGCTTTCGTATATGTGGACCATTTAGTACGCTTGATTGGAAAAAATTAATTTGTTAAGATGGAAAACCGTGGGATATAAGGAAAAAATTGAAAAGGTCATAAAAAAAAATTGACACATACGAACGCCAAACCCTTTGAGGGTTTTACTATACTGACCTAGTACCATCACCCTGACTTGGAATTTCTCACCCCCCAGATTAGCTGTTATACTATGTAATAAACACACGCCCAATAATAAAATCGTACCACTAGGCCTATTATTCTACCTTACTTGAAAAACCAAAATCATGAGCAGAGGATGTTTAGAAGTTAACTGTTTGGAGTCTTTGAAGTCTACAAAGTACTACATTTCGATATCTGATGTAATACGAGAAGCTTTAAGACTACTATTTTGGTTTTACAGACAAAAAACGTTTAAAAACTTAGCAATTGATATGACAATCTATACCACTTAACACTCCATCTTATTTTTGCAATTTCTTATAACGCTTRCATACTTCAATATAAGAATCTGCGTTTTTGCTCCCCTTTTTAAGACTGATGATATACATTTTTGTATTAAAACATCAGTCCTAGATATAGGTTCGAGATTGGATAATTTGTCAGCATATTTTACACAATATCTTCATAATTTTGTGCTTTACAGGTTRACCTGACTTGTCTGACGATTGTCTGGAATATCGTTTAATATCAATACAAATCTTTACCAAGCTTCAATTTCCGGAGCAYTGATTAGCTTGATTAAATCTGTAGCTTTAATTACCATATTTGAGAACTATTAAATATTCTCCCTTTCAACTTTTCCTTACAAAGTTTCGGAAAAGTTTAAAAATGTAACTAAAACAGTTTTCTCCCAAATTTCTTACATATATAACGGCTGATCCAAGTAGAGGTA